ATAACCAAATAATAATATTAAAGAACGATTTTGCTAAGTAAAAAACATATGACGACTTCACTGAAGGAGCCTTCAAAGAAGCGTTATAGTGGCGCCATTGTGGTGTTGCAGCCGCGCCACTACTAATTTTCGTACAAGATTTAGAAGCGCAGACGCAGCGCCACAGTCGCGTTACGCGCGCGCTACTGTAGCAGGCTCGATATTGTTGCGTTTTTATGGTTCTAATGGAACTTTATAAGCGCTTTATTTAGTTTTTTGAAACATATGGTTGTGTATTAAAGGTTTTTGGTTGTTTAGGTCAATCTGTTTCATAAATTAAAAGAAAAAAAAATTAAAAATATGTTACCTTAAAAATACACTCGAAGCTAAGTCGAATTTACACCAATGAACTGAAGTAGATTTAATTTTTAGCCTGGGGCTGTAATTGTCAGTCCAACTGGTTACTTGTTTGTCACCGGATCTACGAGTACGTTTAAACTTCCGTTCTATTGGCAAAAATTGGAAACGGATTTGTGTCTACCAACCATTTGCGCTCAAATAAAAAGTACGTTTACGTGGTAACACTTAGCTTTTAGGAGAAACGTTCAAGCAGAAGATTAATAAATGTTTGTACAACCGATGACAGTTCGATTTATCAAGTGAATGTGCTTGTTTGCGACTGTTTTTAACCAACTTCAAAAAAGAGGAGGTTCTCCATTCGATTGTATCCTTCTTTGTATGTTACGCGATATTTTATTGTTGGGGTACCTTAGGAGTGGTCCCATTTAAATTTGAAGAAAATATACCACCTCTAAGGGTAGCAAACTATGAATGGATGGGAATAATGACTTTTAAGGTCGGTTTTTTTAGTACTCTGCGCTCAGTACTGAGATTATTGAGCATTTTATCGTACGTTAGACCTCACAATAACCTATATTTATGAGGTTACCTAAAAGCGAAATTCTGAACTTTCCATACCTTCTTTTTCCTTTTTTTTTAACTGATGATGGTGTTTATGCTGACGTTAAACTGTGTGGTATGTTAAGGAAATTTATAGGTTTAACGCAATGTTACGTAAGCGTATATCGTTTTAGCTATCGAAAAGCAGATCCATCCGTTAATAGTTGTACGACTTACGTACATGCTGATAACCTGCTTAGTTTATCGGTTTAGTACCCGTCGTTTAAAGCTAAATTAGTTGGCTGTAGTTAGTTAAGTTGCCCGCATACCGTCATAGGTAGGGTGTATTACGAATTAAATTATCTATCTACATTTTATTAATGACTCTGTATTTATCATTACTATTATTTTTTATGATATCAAGTGACGGAATATCCATAATAGTTTTAGTGTACCACTAAAAGCTTTAAATTGCAATGATCTGAGGGGCACTGCCACTACGTCTGTCAATCAATGATATTAATGTTGATAATTCCCATGTGCCAGTAATTTCACCAACATCGTCCTTAGGGTCGTCGTTGCAATGACGTTGCGTTGTGACGCTGCGTTGTACTACGTCATATAGATCAGAACTACATGCCACACGGTGCGTTGAAGCGGCCGTGTGGCATGTGGTAACATAGTCTTTTTTAATTATTTTTTTTTGTGCAATCGCAAAGATTTTATGGGCGCTGCCATTGCGACTGTCGCTCTGAGACATAAGTTGACAAGTCCCATGTGCCTGTAATCGAGTATTGGCGGTCCGTCCACAGAGGATCACACAATTTCACCAGCACCCTTGCCCTTCTAAACCGGAACGCAGTAATGCTTTCATTACTGCTTGACGGCAGAAATAGGCATGATGGCAGTACTATATATATATATATATATATATATATATATATATTCCAGTATTTCCTCTGATGAAAAATCCCAAACAGACATAAGACTGCAGTACTAATTAATATGTTTCAATTTATTCTAATTTCTATTATTAATTGATAATAAATTGAACATTCAATAAAATAATTTGTAAAACGTAATGTAGCGTACCTAAATTGGAATATTTTCTTTGTAAAATTAAAAATAAGGTATTTAATTAATAACTTTTGTAACTATATGGAAAAAATAGGGTGGTTGGCATTAATATTAGACATAACTGGTTGATGACTTTACCACCTCAGTCAACCGTGACCATGGGACCTGTAAAGGGCCCGAAACGTCGGTTTGTTTGAAAGAACAAATATACGCTATTTAAATCTGGAAAAACAGTTTTATTTCCTATGTGTAACAATCGCGAAAACCTAAGAACTCGACTATTTAGGGTTTGTTCCACAAATCCTCACTAAAAATCCCCACCGGTTGGGATTTCCAAAATTTTATTAAATTTGATTCCACAAACCCCCGCTTACGTAGTACATACTTGCTACGCTATGCTAAAATCCCCACCAAGATATGTTCCATATATTAGTCATATTTTTGCAGGTGATAGATTCGAAGCTTTAATGATTTTCAACGCTAATGTCCCGTCAACATTACGACACAGATGGATTGTTTTTTTCTTAAATTGAAAATGAACTTTTTAACTTCCTTAAAAATATTGAATTATTCTTAAATGTGTACTCAAACAATTTGCTTATCTTCGCTCTTGAACGCGTAAGAAAAGTCACTTCGGTTCTACTACAAAATACAGACACATTTGTCATAATATAATGAAACATTGACTACAAAGAACATTTTTCTTTAAATTGTAAAAGGTTTTTATTTGGTTGCATATGGAAACACAAAAATAATCAATAGCAGAAACACTGCAAGCACAATTGGAGAAAGTGACGTAAAGGACGATAGTTTTACTTTACAAAAAAAAAATGCAATGGGACATTGGCGCTGAAAATCAATATAGGTGTTTAAGGCAAACCCCGAATCTGTTACATACAAAAATAGCCTAATATTAATATATTAATATATGGAAAAAACGTTTTTCCACAGAGATTCCCATCAGTGTGGATTTGTGGAACAAACCTAACTTAGTTTCTCAACAGTACCGTATCTTTAATAAGTAACTAATAAAATCAGATTTGTATTAAACAATGATCAAAGCTTAAACTGTTTCACGACGAAGACGAATTGATTCATCAAGTTAAACAGTGAAGTTAAAGTTTAATCACAAGGTAAATTTAATATAGGTCCTCATAAATTGCAGTTGTATAGTTTGAGAGCTTTCGTTCGTGTAATGGGTATACGTTGGTGTGCGTCGTCGCTTTATTTTTTTGCGGTTTTTTATTTGAGATTCCACTTCAAACATGTTGTTGGATAACCTGTGACACCAAATGGGAAAATTGCACAATTCTCATAGACTTCATTGTACACTATAGATAGCGTGAATTTTATTAATACTGATAATCAACTTCCTACCTAAAGAATTAATTTCTAATAAACCATCTAACACTTAAAAAACGAATAAATAAATAAATTTAAGTGAAGTGAGTTCTGGAAGTTACAAAAGGCAATAATAGCTCAGGCTAACAGGCGTGTTCTGAACTTTTATTATCCTTTTTCGAGATTAAAATTTATGTTTTCTGTAGACTATCAGCTACAAATATTCAGAATAAATAATGTGGAACTTCTATTTTGCATATTACTTTTAAACCTAACTTCCCAGCTGTATATTCCTAAGGATGCCGTTAAAATAATAAATAAATAAATATTTAAATTTGTTGTCATTTTGGGATACTTAAATGGGTAGATGTTCATTGTAACTAATGCGATTACTAGGTTGTACTTAGAGGCGCTTAACTGTTAACTTTACTGAGGTTCGCCGTTTCTAACTCCCAGATAGAGAGCAAAGTAACTTGCATGGTTAACTAACGTTCAAGCTACGTAACTTGGATTCGATAATCTACGATGTATTCCAAGAAAACCGATAAACTTCTCAATACTGGTGAATTGCTTGAAAGGTGATATGCATTATAATAATTCTTGCTTACGTAAAATTTTCAAAAATGTATTAATTCTCTGTATTACAATTAATTTACCATACTATTAGAATACAGTAACGAGATAAAAACTCAACTTTGTTCACATTCACATTTGCAATACCACCCTAAAGATGGTAAACAGATTTACTATAGTCAATTTATTGTTTTTGCAAGCCCAATTAATTAGCGGTTTAAGTATATAATCTGAAATATCTTCGTAAATGCACTGTTTACATAAGTTATAGAAGTCACCGGCACCACCCAATGTCCTTGCAATGCACAAATTAAGAAGCACGTTTTCTGCTAAAACCAACTTTAAACTCTCGCTTGAGATGACTGTAGTTGGTAAACTTTCGGTAAGTCTTTTGCGAAAGTTTGCCTGATCCAGCTCAATGTCCAGCATAGGTCACATTCAAAACCGGTTTAATCCTTAACGAACTATGTTTAGTCTCTCCGTAACGGAGTTTGTTAATTCCCTTTTAAGCACAGAAACTGACACACAGTTCTGAGAAGCAGTTTTACCACAGACATATATGTCTGTGAGTTTTACTTTGTCGTTTCCTTCTACTGTTGGTTTTTGAAATGTAATTTCAGGGGGTCTGAGTAATTATGTGTTTGTGGTTGTCCCTCGTTAGAAAATCTTGTCGAGGCGAGATGCATGTACAATATTTACATGTTCTACTATTTGTAAACTTTTGTGGGTCTACTTTTTATTTTCTTATTTATCGTCGTTTTAAATATGGACAGGTATAATAAGTTAATGGGTTTTTATTCTTAATTTATGATAATTCCTTTACTGACATGTAGCAAAAAGATTATAAATGCAGGAAACATTCGGATAAAAAAACATAATAAAAGTTTCACTCAAGCTTTGTGTATTAACCAAGAGACGGGTAAAAAAATGAGCGTCAGGCGGACGGGTCTTTCACGTTTATTATTCATGTCATTTCCACGTTTAACAATTTATCACAAAAAAAAAATCGAAAGTAAGTAATTTAGTTAATCTTTTTCAGAATACTAAGCATGTCAACTGAAGCCTCGAATTACTGCTGCGGGCAACTGTCCAGTTTTTCAGAAGAATCGTGGGGCATGGAATAAGATAAGATGTCGGACGAAGGCGGTGTAGCTGAAGCGGCGGCGTACTGTGAGCCGGGCGGGCTAGGGCTCGAGTTCCAACGAGTATACACGCAAGGGCATGGTTACATAGCACTCATCATCTGCCTGCTCGGCTCCGCTGCCAACTCCGTCAACATCGCTGTACTCAGTCGGAAGGAGATGATTTCTTCCACCAACTCCATCCTCACAGGACTCGCAGTCGCAGATCTCCTCGTCATGCTTGATTACATCCCGTTTGCATTCCACGTCTACATCAACATATGGACCGATTTAAATAGGAACTCTTATGGATGGGCTGTTTTCGTCTATTTCCATTCAATATTCAGTCAAACTTTCCATACGATATCTATTTGGCTGACAATAACGTTAGCAGTGTGGCGATTCATCGCGATCAAATTTCCCCAAAAAAATCGGACTTTATGTAACAAACAGAACACTAACATCGCCATTGCCGTGGCTTATGCCGTTTGTCCGATATTATGTCTTCCTATTTATTTTGCTATGTATATTAAAGAAGTTCATCCGAATAATGCGAGTGTGAACGGCACATTAAACATTACAGATCTGATGAACACATCTACTACGGTGGATAGTGAACCGATATATTATGTGATACACATGACGGATAATAAAAGTTTGCTGACAGCGATATTTTGGATTTACAGTGTATTTATAAAACTTATACCATGTGTGGTGTTGTCAATTTTAAGCGTGCTTCTAATATTAAAAATGAAATCGAGTGACAGAAGGAGACAAAAGTTGCTGAAGAAATCAACAATAACAGCCAACGAGGTAATGTTTTTATTACGTCATTAGTACGTTGTAGTACACGTTGTGTAGTTACTTAGTTACTACGTAAAATCTATATTCTTGAAAGTAAAGGGTTGTAACGTTTTCAGTACTGTTCGCGTAAAGACGGGTACTCACTAGCGACCTGTAACTGTAACCGTTGCATGTTATGTTACATAAAATTATAGTGTATACGTGGTTCGCGAATTTGGCGCGAGCGTAACGCGTGCGGCTTGCAGTGAGCCGACGATAATCAGCTACTCATTCTAGGGAGCGAAAACTGTTTCACGCGTACACACTAGAACCTCGTGTCTGTCACGTTACAGTTACAGCTCGCTAATAAGTACCCGGCTTTACAGTAACTACTTTTTTTCGGACTGGTCGTACGTTGTGCCAACGAGTGACGAGTCTATAAACTTATTCTATACAGAGCGAAATGCTTTACAAGGTTCTGTTTTCTGTTACATACTACAATGTGTAGGCTTTTGTGTCGGGTGTTCGAGGCGGACATTTCCATATGAAAAACGCTACGCTCCCTTTGAAAACTGTATATAGCACACGTTTCATTATAAAATGTATGAATATACATTTATGAATTAAAATGAGAGCGGATCATAATGTAAAAGGAATCAGGATTGATAATTATGCATTAAAATATTAGTTTCAGAAATTAAAATTTACAATTGTCAGTTTTGATAAAGCAGAAAGTTAAATCTTATCAAATATTAAAAAAATAAAAAATAACTGCAGTCGTAGCTTCAAATAAAAACGCAAGAAACGATGCACTTATTTTTCAATTTAGCGGTGGCAATCGAACTAACATTGAAATTTGTCATGTACAGGGGGAGAAGACGCGGCTGAACGAGGATGGGGGGAAGAAGGGTGGCGGGGGACGTACTGACAGAACTACAAGGATGCTGGTGGCATTATTAGGCCTGTTTCTTGCCACAGAGCTACCACAAGCGTTGTTTGGTCTACTGACTGCCATCGCGCCGCAACTCTTCGAGATTTGTTACTACGCATTTGGTTAGTACTTATTTTTATTTATATGTGTAGAATATACTTATGTTACGATCGGTTGTTATGAGTACAAGAAAATGAAGAAATTGATGAATAATTATCAGATTTTCTTATTCGCTTTCGGAATTGTTTTATAGAGCTAGAAAAAAAAAACAAAATTGAAAAAAAAAAATATATGGTAGATGTAGAGGTTAGGCGAAGAAAATATTTTCATAAATTTCTCACAAGTGGCACTATATCAAAAAGTCGACAAAACCAAAAACAAAGATCTGTAACAAGCCCATAAAAAAAATTCATAAGGTTTGTTGACTTGATCTGTAGCTCAGTTAGTAGAGCGGTCGCCCTGGTTTGGTACAGACGTAGGTTCGAATCTTGTCAGATCGAAAGAATTTTCCTTTGCGTTCGATCTTTGTATTAATAAGTTATAACAAACTAGTGGAGTAATTTCACAAAAGATAAAATAATATTAAGGTAGCATAGCATGATAATATTCATTACAATCAATAAATTATATTAATTGTTATACGTGTATGTATCACAAGATATATATTCGACCAATAAACGTTACTTTCAATTAATGTAGTTTTTTATAGTCAAATCTAAGATTTCCGGAACGCCCACACATTTCGACGTCATCAAAAATTAAATAACTTTTGAGCGGCGCAATATTTCATTTTGTTTGCAAAGGCAACGTCTTCTGCTCTCTCTCTGCTAGCGATGATAGAGACTCAGTTTTTTAAGGCGTTTTATAACGATTCGACTCCATTTCACAGGACTCGACTCTAAAATTAAGACTGGAGGTTCGAGTTTTTATTAATAAGACTCAGTCGTTATACTAAAAGACTTAAACGACTCATACGACTTAAACGACTCGAGTTGTTTGCACTGGACTTATACCTATTTTAGTCTTAGTAAACCCGAAGTTTATAAATAAAAATGACGTAGTATGTAGTAAATAATCACGTTTATTTATTTATAATAAAAATAAGGATTCAAAGAGTGATTTAAGCAATAGGTACGAGATTTTAAGACCTATTTATATAATGATTGCATACAATACTTTTTCTGCGAGTAAATTAAAATAATGAAATATAACCAATATTTCAAAGTCTATGGAAATCTACTTCTAACGTGCTCTTTCTTTTAATTTGTGTAATATTGGTCGGTAACCACTTTTCTTATTATGAAGTCCTGGTACTTTAATAAACTTCTTTAGATACCCGTGCACAGTATTGAGATACAATTTATCTGTAGTACATAGAACAAATATATACATAAAAAAATCTCGCCTGTCACCCATTCAGGGGTAGGCCAGGGGTAGGCAGGGAATGTGGACCTCCACTTAATACGTTTATAAATAAATACCATGTTGGATTCATCATTACGGTCAAACGACATTATCAGACACTAAAATTTGATAAAATACTTTGACTATTGGGTTCTGTATCCATTAATTTTTATATTAAAGAAACAAATAATTCCCAAAAAACAAATTCTTGAATTGGTTATAATTAACTGACTTCTGTGAACAAAGCTACGTTAACGTCATCCATCAGTCGTAAAATAAATATCTTGTGGGTAGAAATAAAATCACGCCATACGGCTCGCGGCTCCTGAGGCTATAAGGCGCCAGTCGTGTTAGTCGTTCTAGTCCTACAAGACTTTTAAGCTTCCTAGGGTTAAAAGACTTAATCGAATTAGTCTTGAGGCGTTAACAATTAGTCGAGGTTTTTTAAAAGGCCTTAAAAGACAAAGTCTCTGTCATCACTGCTCTCTGCTACCATGTTTAATATCTTATGACGTTTATATTATATGAATGAGTGGAGGTTCATATCACACACTTGCTGTATCCGTAACGAGGTGCCGAAACATTCTGTTAACGTTCTTTTTGCACGCAGTTGTGATTAACTCTAAGTACGTCACATTCACGGAAGAAAGTGTTTTATGTTTCGTAATATCTTTTCCTTCTACTATCCTCTAATTCGTACATTGTTTGTCTACGTGTCTAAAGAATGCCTGTTTTTGGTAATATTTTCTCGGTATAAAATAATAAATAAGTATTTGAATAAAAAAACGGTGTAGTGAGATACTTTTGTTTTTTTATTTATACAATAAAACTACGCATTTTACCTCCATGTCACCTGATGTAGTGACGATGAGGTCGATGATGTAGCATGCATACTTGATAATGCCTATTCACTCTCTTCAAAGGCGCAAGTTATAGCGTTCGAGGAATAAGTCTGCAGGCAGGGAATTCTTCGTGCGAATCCTTGGAATATCCACAACATATATTTCATAATTGACGAGTTTCGTCCATTCTTTATTTGGTTTATAAATCTGGATTTAATAGTGTATAATACATATTTAATTTACTGTTTCCATCCTGTATTAAAATTTCCATTTCATATTCGACCATAATATTAAAAAAAAATTGGCAATTTTTCGCCGATTACAGACTTTGCGGCTTAATTGTTTGAATACTTTCTGAAGTTAAATTTTCTTTTTTCACAACATTAGCTCGGAAAGGCTTTCTTTCTCATTAGAAATTTGAGCGCAAAACCTAAGCAAAGTTTTTCACTATCGTGGAAAAGGTTTTTGAAATTCGAATTTGACGATGGAGTGTGGTGCACCTAATAACTTTTTCTTTCGATGAAATAATAGTAGTTATGTGACTGTTACATAATGAAAGGCATTAAAATACGAGTGAGGGTTTATATATATAGGGCAAAAACATCTCACGAGTGTTTTATTGTCTAATTATGTACAGTTACATATACTGCTTTATTTATGTGTTCAGGAACAGCATGTTACGACTGGCGAAATGGCGGCAAATAAAAACTTTATTCGCGCATGTCACACAACCGTAGTTATTATTGTTAATTCATAGACAAACTAGAATCAGCCCTCACTATCATATCTTTCGATATCAAGTAACGTGTGACATTGTCAAAATGGTTTGCTATTGACATTTCATTTCGAATAAAACTTCATCTCGACTGATTAGAATTGAGGTCAAATAAAATTGTTTTGTTTTTCAAAGATGTTCGAAATTTGAATGTAATAATAACATCGAATTCGATGTTAATATGAAGCAATAATAACATTTTCACAGATAAGAAATTTATTCTCACAAAACAGTTTACCTAAGCTGGTCGTAATTTGCGGTTTTTGAACACATTATAGAGAGTTTATGATATGTGTCTAGATAAAAAACATAATGACACGTTCAACTACGCGTTTTGTCGTACATTATTTATGTAATATGAATCCGTTCGTATATTTTATTAATATTAATGTTGACATATCAATGACTAATTTTGTTTATTAAATTATTTTTGATGAATAAAACTGATTTGTTTTTTTTTTTCATCTTTGTTTACCACTTTCAAAGTTTGGAAGTTGTGCGTTTCGCTCGGCATCAAAGTTCTTTTGCGTCTCGTGGCTTGAAACCTTCTCTACGCTCAGAATTCTATTTTTGAACCAACTTGTGGGTCAATCTTAACCTCCTTGGTGAAACAACAATTTTGCAGCCATGCATAACAAATAATTATTACAGCAGCGTCGGAGTTAATAAATTTTCATTTAGTAAATAAATTACGCTAAGTCTATTAGGTTTTAATATTATTGTGATGCAAAAACCTTAAATGTGTTCATATTTAGGACGAAAAATGAATGGAAATCAAATTGTCGACATGCCTCGTTTAAGCGAGTATCATTCATTGTAATGCAAATCGCCGTCTGCGCCAATTAACCCTGATCTTATATCATTTAAGTTCATATTATTCATCCATTAGGGACTTTGGAGTAGGACACCTAATATCTCTTTAATTTGCATAGTAATGTTAGTTTTGAGTGATGCTTTGTGACGTAACTTTAGCTAGGTTTTAATACCTTAAATTATATTGCTCTGGTGCCACTTAGTTTAGAAATATATTTCTAGAATACTATATAGAATATGCCTTCAAAATAGCTGAAACTGCCACCAAGCATAAATTTACTAGGGCGAAATCTTATATTCATAATATCCTTCATCCCGTTTATCTATATTGAACATCAGTAAAATTAATGGTTTCTAATAATTTACCATATGAATTAATTTTCATTCCGTTATTTTGTTTAGATCCGTTAAGATAATTGAAACTGCGCGCCCAATTTTTCATGCTTGTTAAGTGCACAAACAACACTGTTGTTTGTTTTCATTCGACAAACGATGTGTTGTCGTATTATGCTTTTGATGCATATAAAAACCAAAGACATTAAATGATAAAAAACATAAAAGAAAGGAAAAAATAAATAGAAAGGTTATTCATAAATGTCATGGTTAGAATTTATATTATTTTAGAATTAAAAATTTAAATAATCGTCAAAAATCATGTCTTATATCGAAGTAATTAAACGTTACATTTGTTATCGTAGCTATTTAGCTATAGTAGGTACTCTGAACCTTTTAATATTATATAATCATGACACGAAAGTTTTTGAAACCTTACATAATTTTGTTTCTGTTATTTGTGATAATTTTTATTCAACCTTTTTCAGTATTGCACAAATCTCATTGTGACCCGTTGATGTAGCACGCGTCGAGCAAATAGCTTAAGGCACTGTCACAACATTATGGCGTTTATCGTTCACCATATAGGTACAAGTTTTGCCAACGTCATCAGGAATCTTTATACGTTCATATGAATCTTTTGACACGTGTATTTCGAGATGTTGTTATAGTGTTTAGTATGTAGAGGTTATACACACATACCTAAATGTTCTTAAACGAGAAGCCATCTTGAATTCGAGGGTACTACCACTTGTGACACAACATCGCTAATCACAAATGATAATTGAAACAGTTATGCCCTAAATTAATTGTATAGGAGTGAAAGAGACAGTAGCTCGGAACTAGGTTATGGCAGCATGTGTAGTAGGGCAAAACAGTCAGGCGTTTTGTATGGTAAAGTAGGCGCCTTATATCAATAAGGCAATTTGTTGTGAAAATTTTGTTTATGTAGATT